GACCCCTCCTGCTACATCCACCTATCACATCCTCTCTTTCAGGATTTGTTAATAGTTCTCTCTTACATTTAATTATATATTACGTATAACCAATAGAAAGCCAAGGTTTCATCTATCAAATGATGTATATATTATGTTGTGTTCTGAACAGATAATCATCAATCATGATTTTCTATTTGATAGCTCTGTAACCAAACAAAATTGAAGGCTGTAAAAAGTATGGTTTGTCTGAGCAATGACGATTTTATAGAGAGTAATTTGCATTTAATTTCATAGTTACTGGAGGTGTGGTGGATAAAACAGAGAAGAGAAGATACCTATAGAAAATGTGTCACGTGTGTCACACTAGGGAAAATTCAGGAATTTTTTAAATAATGCCTTATAGAATTAAAAACTTAAAACTTATATACTATTAAAATATGGATTATTAGCTAAGAGTCTATGCTATACTAATTGGTATAACCTAAACAAAAAGTAGTTTAATTAAATTTTGAAAGTATGACACTAAAACTTTGTGTCATGCACAATAAAGGATACCTGTGGTCATAGGGTTGGAAAAAATTCTTTCAAAATGTTCATTGGTTTGTTTTACAAAAAATCACCTAAATATAAAAAAAAATTAAATGACATGGTAAAAAATTGCTAAGTTATTTAACAGATATCAAACAAGAACATTTATACTATTTTATAGATTAAACCAGTCAAGTAAAGAAATATTATGGTAAATACCTACCTGTCTTCTTTGATCTGAGATTCTATCTAGGAGTTTTTCTTTTTTCTGGGTAAATTCTCTTTCTTGAGTTAATAACCTAACTTCTGCTGGAAATTTTTCAAAATCCTGCAAGTATATAAACAAGTACATCCTGTAATTAACAGGTATAAAAAATTAACATCAAACTCATTTAAAGTTCAGTACTCCTATAAAAGAAATATATATTAGTTTTTGGAATAAATATAGATCTTGCAATAATAATAATAATAAAATTATAAAAAACAGTTAAAATGTTCATGTGATCTAATCAGTATATTTAAAAAACATACTGAAAAATGCATTATTATTATGTAAATTAAGAGCTTGAATGATGCAGTAAACACCCGTTTATGTCTAAGTGTATCAAGTGTCATTTTGTTCAAAAGAAATACATTTTCAGATTGAAAGAAATATAATACATTACTTAGTTCATATAATAAGCATATGAAATACACAATAATAAAAGTTAAATTACAATTGGGGGAGACTTACTTTTGCATGGAGATGAAGTGACTTTATAAAACCTTATTCTACAAAATAAAGACTAGAAAGCAATTTTTTTTAAACAAAGGGAAATATATAAATAATATTAAAATACCACTGACCGATTATTATTTGCTTTAGAAAAAGAAAACAGACCACAGAGATAATAAACAAAAATAAATGTTAAAAGAGATACTTAACAAAATTTTTGCAATGCCTGAAGTTAGATGCCTCAGTGATGTCATTCTTTAAGAAAATTATCTTTAAGCAATATACTTACATCAAGTCTGTCATAATATGTTTCCAATAAACTGCAAAATATTAAGGTTCTTAAATCTGCAAACAATATTGGAAGCTTTTAAGTTAAGGAAAACTCTTAATATTATACAAATTCTATTTTTAAATGTGTCTCTCAAACATAATTCTGTCTCAATTTTAAACTTCCATACCTCTATTTTTTGCTTTGCACGTTTCAGGTGTGTTTTATAGTTGATGATGTCTTCTTTCAATTGTTGTATTCTTTAATAAAAATTTCAGAATGATAAATAACTTAGAACTATTTCATAATCCAGTGATAATATACTACTTATGCTCATCTGTAATTCTTTTTTAAATTTTCAACTAAATATTCATTATTGAGAGCATGCAAATCACATTAGTTTGCAATGAAAGAGTAACAAATGTGTTCATAAAAAAAACTAAAGCAACAATCTGTTCTTCAAAATTATTGACTGTTTCAGCATATTTTATAACAATTAAAAATTTCTGAAACTTATTGTCTTTAATACTATTTTTTAGTATTTACAAAAGATCAAATTATTAACAAATAAGTTTATGAATGGTTTCAAAATTAACCTGTTTTCTGATGTCATTCAGAAAATCCTATATTTACTTTAACATTTGCTCCAATCTTAAAAAAAAAATAATTATATTTCATGCCTCATAAAAGATCACAAACATGAAATCCAAGCCCTTTTATTTACCAATATTTATATGCAATAAAATATTGAAAATATACATAGAATTATAGTACCTAACAATTTTTCACTCTAATATATGGAATAAAATATGAATTATTAACTCATTTTTTTCCATGTTTTTTTTCTCACACATTATCAAGACCCACTACTGGAGCCTTACACAAGTAGGTTTTCCTATATACTGGATAAACTGTTTCCCTGAGAGAAGTTTGTTGAGCACAAGTTGCTAAGTAACAATATTTTGATACTTAGTAATCTTCAACCTGAACAGTACCTTATGTGACATATGGGCTAAATGGCTAAGACACATGTTACAAGGTTCAGGCATAGTTATCTATAATTTAAAACTGTTAACCAAATTGTGGGCAATTATTCAGCAGCATACATCATCTAATACGCAGCTACTCTAATCAAATAGCAAGCTTTACTGTGACAATTATAATGTTCCACAACTGAAAGTGTAAAGACTATTCAAAAACAGGTACACCAGCACACCAACCACTAGACACAATATCAACATTGAAGTGTCTTGTAATGGGCAAAAATATTTAAATTATATAAAAACACAAAATGAATGATTAATTTAGTAAATTGAGCAAAAATTGTCATTTCTGGCAATCTTTTATGTTATTATATTTTTTAACAATAAAGAGGTTTGTAAAAAAATAAACCAAATAATAACAGAAATATTTAAAAATCATTTGTTTAAGATCAGATCAATATTATATTCAATGTGTTGTTTAATATTCTTTGCATCCAGCAAACACTCAAACATTAGACATAGTTCTAAGTAATGTTTGAAATAATCTCATCCATGTGCTAATAAGGCAACTGATTTTTATCTTCTTTTTATAGGGTATTAAATTTCTTTACCTTTTTTAGATTTATGATTATTGTCTTGCAACTGCCAAAGTTTCTATAACACAATTTTTAACGTTCTTTTAACCCTGATGTTAACAGGGTGTTTGGTTTACCGTGTTTTGACACATTTTAGACTAATTTTGAAACTTACGTATTATAAAACATTGAAGGGGTATTACACATTATTTGAATATTCCACAAAGATACATAAATACAATAAATAAAATAAACACATAAAAAGTCCCCTGAGTTACTGATGTAGCGTGAAACATTGAAGCAGTATCACCCTATGTTTATCTAGACATCGGAAGTTGCTCAATCTGGATTGGATAACACTTCCATAGCCTCATTGTTAGAGAATACTGACATTTTAAAGGATGTAATTCCTCTTTTATATTTTTTGTACAAGAAACAGTGAAAGTAACAAATTCTTTTGGGCCAATATTTTTCTGAATTTTTTTTTTTAAATATTGGCTCATTTGTAAACAAAAAAAAGTAGCATTTGGCAGTAAAAGTTCTTCTTCATCATAAGTCTTCTTTATAAAAAAATATAAAAAACTACTAACACAGATGTGAACCCTTAAAACACCAAAATATACAACACAATAACTAAAACAGGACACGTGAGAAAATTAACATAAATGATTAGGGTCAAGATAATTTTAGATGAGCTAATGTTTTAGGAGGATTATTTTTCTTATCAAACACAATTAACAAAGGTAAGTTAATATTTTGAAAAAAATTAATTAATCTTTGACTGCTCATTCAAAAAAAAAGGGGTATTTGAGAAAGCATTATATATATACACACACACTAGAATATTTATTTGAATTGTATATTAGCACCAACTTTCAATCATAACGGCAGAGAGTTTTAACTAAAGATTGTTTACAACAGATAATTTTTTATACCTATCCTGTTCTTGTTGAAGACGAATTTCTGCTACCTTTTTGACTTGTAAAGCCTTTGAAACTTTTTTTTGACAATCTGTAACAGTAGCTTCTAAATCTTTCTTTTGTTTTTCCACTTCACTTAGCTAGTAATGAGAAATAATAGTTAGAAAAAACATTTGGGAATGAAACACATTTAATTACTCAAATCATTCTAGTACAATTAATTAGTATAAACAACTATAAATTAAAAAGAATGAATTATCAAAGAAAGAATGGATTAGAAAGTTATGGAAATCTATGTTAAAGAGGATTAATTGCATTAGAAAGTTATGGAAATCTATGTTAAAGAGGATTACTTGCATTAGAAAGTTATGGAAATCTATGTTAAAGAGGATTACTTGCATTAGAAAGTTATGGAAATCTATGTTAAAGAGGATTAATTGCATTAGAAAGTTATGGAAACCTATGTTAAAGAGGATTAATTGCATTAGAAAGTTATGGAAATCTATGTTAAAGAGGATTAATTGCATTAGAAAGTTATGGAAATCTATGTTAAAGAGGATTACTTGCATTTGAAAGTTATAGAAATCTATGTTAAAGAGGATTACTTTGTATGAAATAATAAAATAAGAAAAAATTGTTTGAGGAGAGACAGAAAGGATAAAGAAGGTGAGTGTAAGATATGAAAATAATCGAAAACAATGATTTTGAAAGGAAAGGAGAAAATTCTGAAGTAATGATTAAAGAAAGAAAAGGATGTAAAGTGGTGAAGCAAAGAACAAGATATAATGAAATCAGGTGGAAGAAAAGATGAAGCAGAAAAGGAGATTTTATAGGTTATGCAAATGAAATATGAAACTACAAGATGAAATGAAGTATTCCTATTTTTAGCATGACAATTACCTTGCACTCAGATTGATTCAATAAAGGCTTCAGAAATTCATCGATAAATGTTTAATATAAATACTTTATTGAAAGTTTTGAATTTTTGTGTATAACAGATTTGTATTGTTTACTAAAAGCCTTTCAAGTTTCATTTTAGTAATTCAGAGTTATAGCATGTATAGTTTTATGATTATGTGGTGGTTACAGGTTAGTCAAAATGCACGAGCCCACAATAAAAGAATTAAATACCTTACTGGAGACACATTACATGAACAAAGAGGAAATATGTATGAAATTTTTAAAGATATCAAATCTACTTTCAATAGTATGAATAGAAAGAAATTTGAAAAAACTGAAAAAAAAAGATAAATGAACAAGTAAATGTTAGGAATGATAAAAGCCAGAAATAAAAAAACAATAAATAGCTTTAAAAAATAATAATAAAAAAAGATCACAGTTTTTTGGTTAATGACAGGAGTTAGACGAATATGCCTGTTAAGTAATATGTTGTTCTCAATACATTTAAATGACTCAAAGATGAATGAATGGAAAAACATATTGGGGAAGAATGCTACATAAAAAAAATATGAAATCTGTAAATGACAACGTAATGGTGGCAAATTACATACAGGAAATTAAGAGCATGCTTAGGATCTTGGAAAATGTATGGAGAAAAATATACTCAGATTTAAGTAAATCACAAAGGTTTTTAGAAAGGGACAAATAAAACACTAAAAATGATTTAAAAGGGAAAGCAAAGGTAAGGATAGAGGTGGTTAAAAATAATAAATATCTGTGATAATCATTTAACAATAGAAATAAAGCAACAGAACAAATAAAACATACTGAAACAAGATCACATCAGGTATTACATTCAACATGGAATGCAGGTGAAACAAAAACAGAATTTGAGATATGGATAGACAGCTGCACTTGTATCAAAGTCTGGTAAGCTCTATTATTACTATAGAGCAGAAATGTAGGGTTAGAAAAAAAGAAGAGAATCAAAATATATTAAATGGATTTCAGATAGAGGTACAAAGACCTGATATGGTCCTCAAAACAATGAAAAAACATGTGTGTCTATTTTAGGTACATTGTTTTGAAAGTAATTAGAAAAAAATAGAAAACAATAAAAGATATAGATGAGTATGGGTGATGAGGAGAAAGTTTAAGGAGAGTGGAAATACTGACATTATGTGGGATGATACCCAAAGGGATGATAACAAACTTGTGGTAGGACTGGAAAGTCTATGTATTGTGACTATTATAAAGACATGAAAGAAGATGTAGGATGAAAGGATATATAATATCAAAAGACTGGAAAAAATTTTCAATATATATATATATATATATATATAAC